CCCCCCCCCCGCCGTGTTCTACTCCCCACCTAATTAGGGCAACAGAGGGAAATGGTACTCGACACACTTGTGTGTCGGTGCCTTTCCCTTTGTTGTTCCTGTTCTAGTCTTCTCTACCCGGGCGGTCTAAGACTAAAGTCCCGCTCCCTAACTATTGCATTTAATTCGCCTCGGCTAAGTAGTCAGTAACTCTAGAGTGCTAAGTAGTCATACACACCCACGGACACACACACATGCTACATACACCCCCTCCCTGCCCCCCCCTTTCTTTCTTACGCTTTCGGTCGTTTCTTGGGCTTTCTCTCAGGCTCTTTAGGTTGTTCTTGAGGCTCGTTTCCCTGCCCCAGTCAAGGGCTAAGTATTCACCTTTTTTCTACTCCTATCTTTCTCTCTTGCCCTCTTAGCGCTGCTCTTTCTGTGTTTCTTTCTTTTGTTTAAGGCTTTTTAGGAATCTATTCAGGTTCACCGCGCGAGCGCCGCAAAGCGGCACCGTGTGTGTGTGTGTGTGTATGTGTCAACCCCTGTCCCTAAGGGTTCTGAGAAAACCAATGTCAGAGTGTCACACTCTGTATATCTAAGAGTTTTCCTTGTTTTGTTCCAGCAGGGGGATGGAGAGGATATGTGAGGCTCCATCCAACGAAGCTCCTCACACGATCCTAGGATATCGGCAAGGACGCTTGCCGACGTACCTGCAATCAACTGTTGCCCACGCTGTCCACTCCTTTGGTTTGTTTCATGGTTTTTCATGCGTTCCTTTCCCCAAAACAGGTTTCCCGCCGCAGTTTTCAGCCGCTCGTGAATTGCAGCCAGCCGCGCGAGTGAAACATTTTTTCAACACTTCAAGTGACCTGACTCTTTCGCCTTGCTGTTCCATCACCTTCCTTCTCAACGTGGGAATTGAGTTAACAGCAAACCAATGTCAGAGTGTGTGTGTGTGTGCGGACCAAACAAGGCATTCCTGTGGCATCCTTTTCCGTGCTCATAGCCTCATAGCCTTCCTGCTAGGCTCGGCACCAATCTAAGCTCTGCAAAACACTCACGTGAAAACTCCTGAGGGCTGCTTCGTTGCTTTGCGCCAACGATGCGATCGAGCGTCGGTTCATAGCCTGACAACCGATGTTCCCCTCTCGCCAGTTGGAGACCAAACGAGCAAAGTTGTACTGCACATCAGCCTGTTTGGAATAACCGTCACAACTGTTAGCTTTTTCCACATTCAAGGAGAATTGTTTGGCTTGACCATCCTGATGCTATATCGCCAACTTCAAAGATTTTATGTTTAGATATTTTTCTATTTCAAGTGTTTTAGGCATTCGTTACGATTTCCAAGCATGAATTGAACAATTGTGCAAAGCTCTATGACAAAACTCTCTCTTGATCTATCGGCCTTTGTGAATGGCCAATGAGTATCGTCCAAGCAGGTGTCACTGAGAGTGAGCAGCTTCACCTAGTCCGCCAGGAAACAATGTCGAGGCAATGAGAACCTCGATTCAAATACCGCATCCCTTTGCATTCTGCTGTCCTAGCCTTTGGCCCTTGGCCCTTGGCTCTGGCAGTCCCTGATCCTCAGTATTCGCTTTCAACAGAATAGCCAGGTCACCATCATTTCTGCCGTGTTCAGGCTGCCAACTACCTTTCCCGCCAAAAGCCACCGCTGCAAGCATACAATGTTCTCCATTAGTGCACCTTCCCACAATTTTGCAGGAAGGTCTGATTGGATTGCATTGCGATTAGTCAAAGCCAACACGATACTGTATGTTTTGCTACTTTAGAGCCAATGGATCGTCTTTGTCGGACCATAACAGCAAGAAACGTGAGGACAGTACCTGGAAGGCAAGCAGAATGTTTTGCATAGGAAGAGAAAATGCGCTGGAAGTCTTTCTCCAGCCATTCTTCGCAGTGTTCTGCAGCCTCGACATGGATAATGTATCTGCACGACGACAAATGTTCATGTGGGATGAAAGGTGTGAATTCAATCCAAAGTTGACGAAGTGGTTCAAGAACAATTCTATCCCCAAAAATGTAATGAACATGAATATGGTCCCTACATTGCGATGTTTGCCGTGTGACTATTCCTCAGTTCTGCGCCTCGAAGAAACCAAGTATATAGACTCAACCGATTTGAACGACTGTTTCAGCATCAACAACTTGCTCCACTGGCCAGCACGCTTGCCCAAACATGAATGCATGGTATACGCACAAACCGCAAACGCTGAACACCCAGAACTGAATCATGCGTACAAGTAGATAACAATTGTTACGTGTGGATGTTTTGAGACCTCTCTTTCCCAAATTCATGACGTTGGAGTTGGATACGAACCCCATACGCCATACACGGAAATCAAGGAAGAGGAGAACAGAAGCCGATGCAGCATGGGTGGATGCAGCGTGGAGTGATGGGTGGTCTAGTAAGACCATGTATATAGAACTTTGTGCTTATCTACTACTACTACTACTACTGCTACTGCTACTGCTATGGCTACTCCTACTCCTACTCCTACTACTACTACTACTACTACTACTACTACTACTACTACTACATATTACGACCACTACGACTAAGACTACGACTACGACTACGACTGCTGCTACGACTACTACTACTACTACTACCACCAACAACCACGACGACGACGACGACGACCACCACCACCACCACAACGACGAGAATATTAATACCAGCCAGCACCAGTGCCACAACCGCACCCACCACCATCACGCTGCACCAACACCGACCACCCCCCTCCGCAAACCAGCGTTGACCACCACTGCGGCCCTCGCCACACTGACTCTGTTTTGGGCCGTTTTGGTATAGTTCTTTGCGTCGATGGTGGCATCCGCAATCGCCAAGATTTTGGCCGAGTGGCCAGGGACATCCGGGGCAGGGAAGACGAGGTGAGGGCCCGGGCTATGCTTGTAAAGACGAATCGACGAACCAGTGCAGCGGGTGATCCTTGACATCCATACAAATGACTCATGGAGGCACCGCTCAGAGAAGACGACGGGGAAAATTGGCACTGCTCTGACTCCTCAGTGTCAGACAGAACGAAGTGGACGGCCAGCAGAGCGAAGCGGAATGTCGCCGGCAAGCAATGGGAGCATTCAACGAGCAAGTGCTTGCAACCGGCATTGGTCTCCTTCTAGCTACTCAAGGCAAGCCAATGCTCAAGATGGTTGCGCAGCTCTTAAAGTCGAAGTTTCCTACGGCAAAGTGAGCGGCGCTGCCGCTGGTGCATGGATGTGCTGGCACGGCCTGAGGCTTGAGGAGGTGATGATTTGGGAGATGTTTGCGGCAGGGGCAGTCGCAGTTCTTTTGCTGTGCAAAAGCAAGCCCAGCCTTGGCCTCCACTGGTTGTCATCTCAGCCGGAAATAACCATGGCCTTCCATCAGCCTTTGGCACGTTATATACAAGACATGGTGGGCATGCCCCTGACAGTGTTCACAGCTGCCATCCCTACTTTAGCTCTGGGTGCTCATGGTTGGTGTTGCTGCGGAGCAAGCAGCACTTTTTGTTGCCGTTGACTGACCGAACTTCTGAGGAGGCAAAATTCACACGCTTTCCTGCCTTGTTAGGATTAAAGACTGTCACGGACTCCGGTGCCAGCATTTCTACCTTGAAATTGTTGCCCTCTCTGGAATGCTTCAACTCGATTTGGAGCTGATGGTTCAGGCCTGAAAGTTGATTGCCTTTAATCCATGGATCCACGCTGTTTGAATACAGCATCTTGCAGCTACTATTAGCCGCTCAAACCATTTTGCCGACATCTGTCAGCGGGGAGTGTACAGCAAAGAGCGCTCACCATTCCCCCGATTCTCGAAATGGCATAGCGCGAAACCGGGTGAAACAAAACCTCGACTTGCTTGCTTGCTTTCTTTGCTTTGCTTTATTTGCTTTCTTTGCTTTGCTTTGCTTGGCTTGGCTTGGCTTGCTTGCTTGCTCTTCACAAAGCGCACCAGTGTTCGAAAAATTGCCGACAATTTCCCTGGCCTCCACCATTCGCCGTATCTCAGTCCCCTTGCGGAGCAAGCGGCGATGCAAGTCTCCTCGCCCTGCCCAGGGGCTTAGTCTTGAGTCTTGACAACCCACAAGTTCGAGGATCGGTTCAGGGTCCTCCTCGTCACACATTCTTGATCATGCTTGCCTACTTGAGATCTCTTATGATCTCTTCCCGGAACAATGATATGATCCGTAAGGACTTGGGCAATGGGGCCTTCAGGGCATAGAGCCTAGATACGCCTAGATACAAAGCAACATGTTACATAAATGGTGCGTTTTGGTATTTCGTTGGCAAATTGATCTACAATAACAAACGCACACGGATGCGAACAAAACAAAGACAAATCGGATATATCTCCGCAGCAGTATGCAGATTAGCAGCTTGTCTTCGTAAGGGACATGTTGATCAGAATACTGTTCCAACTCCCCTGTGAATTCTTTTGAAGTATGGCCAAGGTATTCGCTTCAAACCAATCTCATGTCATTTCAGCGTTGCGGGAAGCCTGCCATAGAAGGCTCTAAGTATGCCACAACCTGGCATTTAATTTGCTAGTTGAGATTCCTGGTGGGCAGCGAATCATCCCTACGGAGAGTTTGGCGTGAACACTAGTGAAAACTTGTCAATCGAATGCCCGAGCCCAAAGGCGCCTATGTGCAAGGAGTTCTCAAACAGTGAATGCATCGTAGTGTAGTAGTCATATGCTTCCACACAGGCACAATAGTCTCGTTCTGGCCAGATTACCTGACAACACAGGCAGAAAAAATGCTACAGGTTGTGACAGTGCAACACCAAACGGGAAGGTGAGGGGCAGAAGCCAGTTAAGTTGCCTGATGTGAGATGCAAAGGTCTGGCGCAATATTTCATTGAGGTCCACCCCCCGGTTTCCTTTGGTACTGCAACAGTCCTTACTCGAGGAAGGACGAATCAGGAAACCATGTAGGGTCACAGTTCAAGTTGCAACTAGCATCTCCTCAGTTTGCCAAGCTGCTCTCCACAAAGCGCCGAAAAGAAACCAAATGCGGCGCTCTTGCTGTTCAATAGGCCAGCCTCGGAAAATGTAGTTAGCTGTCACGTTGCCATTGCTCGAATATAAATCAACCAGCCCGTACCTCACGGAGGCGACACTAAAAATCAATCAAAGAGGCCAAAAAGGGATTAGATTTCCACTTACAGCAACAGCGGCAGTAATTGGAGTTGGTAAAAACCCTAAAAGTAGCAGGACAGGAGGATTAGAAACATAAATATAGCAATTTGTTGCACCACCAGTGGTGGTGGTGGTGGTGGAAGGTGATAGGTGCAAATATACTAGTTCGATGCATTGACGCGCAAAACAGCGTTTTTTTCAATAAATGTTTTCAAATATTCCTTTCCTTTTACGGTCTTCCTGTCTATCTTGGACCTTTATTTATCTTGTGCTATTGATCCATCTTGCAAAAGAAACGCCTCATGCCACAGCATCCAAAGTGCTTCAGAAGCAGATAGTAGATAAACACATCGAACATAAAGGGCGTAGTTGCCCTGCAAACATGCACAAGCTCCTGTGAGCCACAGCTGGAACGAAGGTGCTGCAATAGGCCTTCAAACGTTGAGAGTTGGGCTTCACAAAAAACTGAACGTGGGATTTAGTTTTCAGGGAAAGCCGGCCAATATATCCACATAACAAGGATACCAAAATACCAAAGATACGACTGATTTCCCGGAGCATTCATCTATAATGGATTTATAGGATTGACCCACCCCCTTTATTGGCTTGGTCCACCTCCAATAACAAACGCCTTTCAAACATGTTTCTGGCACAACAATTGAAATTTCCGCACTAACCCTCTCACCCTCTAACATCCTCTAACCCTCCCAATTTTTGCACTTTTTGTTTCAGTCTTGGGGCCCCTCCTCATGAAGAGAAACTTAGTCTTTGGGGCCTCTCCTCATGAAGAGATTTAGTTTTTGGGGCCTCTTCTCATGAAGAGAATTGTCTTGCTGGGGATCCCGCCTCATGAAGAGATTTGGTCTTTAGGGCTTTCCTCATGAAGAGATTCCGTCTTGGGGATCCTTCCTCATGAGGAAATTTAGTCTGTGGGGTCTCTCCTCATGAAAAGATTTAGTTTTGGTGACCTCTCCTGATTGACCGATTGACCTGCCCAATCAAAAAATCGAATTGCACTTTTCTGACCACTCCAAAATAGCAGGGTTGGGTTTTATTAATCCGGTGATTCCACTTTCAGCCATGACCCGGAGGAGACGCAAAAGCCAAACAAGGCACGAATCCTACTGATCTTGAAAGAAAAACTCCGCAACTCTATAGACAACATAAGTAGAGATACGTACGCCAAGGGAATACCAATAGACCAACGCAACAGCGGCATCCGATGCTTTCTCGACGGTCCAGGAGTTCAGGAGTTTGTCCACCTGAAAAAGAACATCGACTATGATACATGTTCTTCTTTGATTTTTCACTTCGGCCTTCAAGCTTTGCTGCCGTAGCCTGCAGGACGGCTTGTGGGCAGCGCGTCAAGTACTCAGAGTAAGTGTTGTAGATGTTCAGAAGGAGGGGCACCTCACGAGGGAAGGTCATTGGCCGTGGGCAGTTGCAAGCACTGTCGGGCTACTTTACAAGCAAAAAACACATAGACACTTATCCGCCGACCCCTGCCTAGCTGACGCCTAGGCGGGGTGCTGTCTATGGGATTCCAAAACCAACATTAGAGACTGGCAGCAATCACACCCAACCCTAGACTCAGGGCCCGTCGTGCCAGGAGATACTTTGCTTACCTCGGAGCCCCAAGATGGGCCAACGTAGCCCCAAAATGGGCCAACATAGGCCCAAGACGGGCTCAACATGGGTCAACATGAACCCAAGCTGGCCCAACATGGATCCAAGGTGCGCCAACATAGGCCCTAGATGTCACAACATAGACCCCAAATGGGCTCAACATCGCCCCAAGACTGCCCCACATAGCCCAAAGATGGGTTCGACCTGGCCCCAAGACCACAACCATGACCAGAACCACCGCAACAACAAGAACAAGAACAAGAACAACAACAACAACAATAATCCCTCCGCCCACTTTCTTTGCTCTTCCCACTTCCCCTGTTTTGGGCTCCTGGCCAGCTGTCGGGCGTAAGCCGCTACGTCCGGCCAGGGGCCCGCCCCAACTGGCCGTGGTATCCCGGGTTCAAGGAGAGAGGGGCTCCACCCAGGGGGTTTAGACCTGGAGGAGAGTCGGGCGTCAGCCCTTCAATCCGGCGACGCCGTTCCATTACCCCTATCAAGCTAGCTTGCTATATTGTAGAGCTTCGCAGACCGGTGATGCCGGTTGGGCGCGTGTTCGCTATCGTGTTCAGTTTCTGTGTTTTTTTTGGGGTTGCCTTTGTACTTTTTTTGCTTTGTTATTAAGTTGTTGTTCCTTTCGAAGGCGTCGCGCGCGCACACGCGCGCGCCCCCGAGACCTCGTATCAAACATGTTTGAGGCGGTGGAGATGTTTTTTTAATGACAAAAAGATAGAACACACTGTAAAAATCAAAGTTTTTTGCTCAAAACATTGTATTTACGAGGTTCTCTCGAAAAACGCGATACTTGCAGCATTTCGCCCACCACTGCGACATGTTTTTTCTAGATCGAAACTTGTGAAAACACTGTAATTTACAATGTTTCGCGTCTGGGCGCAAGCCGAAAAGAGGCTTCAAAACTGTCAGTGTCAGGCCCAAATCCAACTTTCCAGTTCCCAATTTTTTTGCCCAACTTGTCTGATTTTTTGACGACTTTTTCGACTTCACAGAATCACAAAAAAGGCCTCTCCCCCACCAGGCTCAAGGATTTTACTACATTTATCGTTTTCCCGTTTTTTGAGTCGCTCCAGAAGCAAAAACGGCTCGAAATGCAGGCGAGAGCGCAACTTTTAAAGCTCAATTTCACAAAACACCGTAAGGGGGGGTTGCCGGCATGGGGAGCACCCCCCCGTACCTAAAGCTAGAGGCGATCAGCAACACGAGATGCGCTCCATGCCGCCGACCCGTATTTCTAGCATCACCAGGGTTCATGTGGCTTCGTCAAACCGTCAAAAGCTTTTTAGCTTCAAAATATCTAGAAAATAAAGCCTTGAAAGTGGAGACAAATGTTTGGCCAAATTTTGGTCGAGCATCATTAGCATCAGCAGAGTCTCAGCAGGAAAGATGCAAATCCTTTGGAGCATGACTAGGCGCGTAAATTGCAGTGTTTCTGCAAAATGTATGTAGTTTATGAACAATGCTGCTCGTACTCTGGTGATGCCAATGGTGCTCGACACAAATTCCACCTCAAAACTTCCTCTCCCCTTTGCATACCTTCTTCTCTAGAGATAAAGCTTTACAGTATCAGTAGCCATTCTTAATCACTTTCCCTCTGTTTTTGCCGTTTTTCAATCATACACACGTCCTGGTGATGTTCAAGACTTGGTACTGGAAAGCGCCGAAAAACTGTATTTTGATGTATTTTGTGCATTTTCTAGCCTAAAGCCATCTGTGTTTACAGGGTTCGCGGACGCAAAGGTGGCTCCAACTTCACCTATTGGGCGTGCCTGCGCCTGCGCGTGCATGCGTGCGTGCGTGCCTGCATGCGTGCGCGCGCGCTCCTGTGCGTGCGTGTGCGCGAGTGCGCGTTCATGTGCGTGCGGGTGCGCGTGCGGGTGCGGGTGTGCATGCGCGTACGTGTGTCTGAAGCTGAGGTTGCCAGGCTTTTTACATCATACCCTCATGCGCACACCTGTGTGGGAGTGTGTATGCGCAGGCGTCCAGAAGCTGTGCTAATCGTCGATTTTGCTGTGCAAAAAGCCTGTGGATACGCGCAGTCCCCAGGGCATCGCCGGTTGGCGAAGCCTGTCATATACAGCATGTTATCCCCATCTCGTTTTGGCCTTAAACTTTTCTCATAGACAGAAAAAAAACCTGTTTTGGAATGTTTTGGCTAAGTTTTCTGCTAATAAGTTAGGGCATGTGGTATGGCTAAAAGTTCCCACCTGCAGTTCTTCCTTCATGTCAACATCGGTTTTTGCTCCCAGCTCCTGCTGCAACTCTGCCCGTGCGCGCTGCAAGAGGTCCGACTCCACAGAGCTGTCATCCCGGCAGAAATGATCTGGCAGGAGGGTGCCAAGTCACAAAGCGGTTGCACACACAGTACATTCAGAAACCAACAATCGCAAAGAACACGTGCGCGGGTTGAAGCAAACGATCCGCCCAAACACCTCGCAACTTCAGCGGTTAGTTTGTTTGTGCGTTCACTTAGATTTAAAGGTTCGATCTTTGGCGGGTGGTTTGCGATGTTAACGGAGCGCATGACACGTGAGAAGCGATAAATAGTTGGTTAACAAAAATATACCGGTGTGTTTGAGAGAACACTAGAGAAAACGCATCGCGAACAGCAAAAAACACTGTACAGTATCTAAGTTTTTAAACAAGAAAGACCTTGCGCAAAGGAGAAAAGCCTTTAAGGATCTTTAAGGAAAGAAAAGGTGAAGTAACACTGCAACATGAAATAAAGCTATACACTGTAGAAGGGTTTTGATACCTCCCCAGAAGATACTGCAAATATGTTGCATTGGTTTGGGATTTTGGAGTGTATGTTTTGAAGAACACACTGCAGATCACAGTAGTTTTGACTTGGTTTCAGCTGCAGTTATGTCTTTTGTTCTTGCAAGAGTAACACCTACATATTGGATATTTTTTGCCAGAAGCACTGCAAACAGAGTCCAGAGTGTTTTTGATGATGAAAAATCCTCTCTCTCTATCCGTTCTGGATACAAACACCTTCGTGGAGGCTTTGACATGATTGATCACGCGCTAACCTTCTCCAAGATGAAGATGCTCCTGAAGACTTTCCTGCAAGGCTCGAGCAATGTGGGGCAGATTCTCGTTGAACAACACCGCCGTGCCAACCGCTGGAAGGATCTCTCGCTGCATTCAACTGGCAATCCGAGGAATCCTCTGCTAGGCACATTGGGCAGTTTTGCGCAAAACAGCGTCTCAGCTGCAGAAGCGCACGGCATCCAACAATGTCTACTAGTCTACTGCAACGGTTTCTGGCCGCTTTTCTTCAGTGCTGATTCACTTACTTCTATCTTCGTATCTAAGTGTCTCAAAATGTCTCAAGCCTCCTATATTTAGATACATGATGCATGATGTTGGAGTCCGCAATTTGATCCAGCGCTGGACCGAAAATGCTTTCGAACACTCACAGCAATGCGACTCAGCAATATCTCTTTGAGAGCTGCAACAATACCCATGTCAAATGACTGCAGTATACTTATAACTTTACTTGAAGCTTCAATCCTTCATGTTAGGCTGTTTCCTCCATGACTGCTTCTACTCGAATCTTTCTGCACCAACTCAAGAGACCAAAACCCATCTTTTCGACAATTCTGGCTCAATCATTGGCCAGCTGCGCTTCGTCCTCCTACAGGGCTGAAGCCGCAAAGTGGCTTTGAAGACTCAATTTCAAGTTTCTGCGCTGCAGCATTGTTTAGATAATTATATCACCACCTTAGCCTGATGATCTAATTAAAGGTCTGTCTTTGGATGTCATTTCGCTCTATCTTAAAGGTTCGCTTGAAAAATGAAGCGCCTTCCAGCAACACGAGCAGCACAGCGCGTCCTCCCCGCCAAGGAGAAGCCTATTCTGAATCCTGTGCAACTGCTCCCGCAACCTTATTCTTCGGAGTTCAAGAGCTTGAAGATGTTTTAGGTACCTCTTTAAAGTTATTATGTTTCGTATCATTCTTATTACAATAGTAATAATATTAATAATAACAAACGTAATAATAGTGACACTAATAATAGTAATACATATATTTATGTATTATATTGTATAACCAATTATTATGTTATATTATATTACATAACCAACTATATATGTTTAAAGGCTTGGGGGGTAGGCTGTATATGATAGTAGCTAACTTGAGTGGGCCGCTACTAGGAACTGGACGCAGGAAAGCTCACGCACTATTCATGTGGTTGCAGATTTTTACGAACACTTAGCAAGAAGCTAGCAAACCGTCGTTTGACCTCTGATGTCCAAACACCGTTGTACATCTGTCAAGTCAGTCCAGGCAATGTCAAGGAGCTTGTGCAAGGGCTGCAACTGGTCTTTGAACGTTTTGAGGGCCTCTCCGAATATTGCTTGTATACAGTAATGAGTTAAGCACACTATAAGAAATTACTTGCCAAAGTACAGAACCGCAAAAACAGCAGAAACAATCCCGCCTGAGAGGTAAGGTCCGAAATGATCACAGCTGTCACTGTGCCAAACACCACAAACACATAGACGTAGCAGGTCAGCTGATTGATGACCTTAAGGGTTAGGGTTTCTTATAGATTTGCGTTCAAACTGGCGTTTCTATAAAGCTCTTTGAGTGCTTCACAGGCTGGATGATGTGGAGCTTTAACATCAGCAGGAAAGTTGCCGTGAAAATGATCATGGTGGTCTGGCCAAATGCAGCTGTTCGTACAGAAGGCTTCAGGTCTTGTGGGCGAACCATGCAAGTAATTAAACATAATTAAACAAAATGAGGTTGCTTCCTATAATATCCTATGGTTCCTTGTTCATTGAAGCAACACACACACACAAACAAAACTGGAATGCCGTAAATCATGCCATAGTGGTACCTTGCTTCTCAAGTTATACTATAATGCACAATCACGAACAATCGCGGCTGGCACACTGGGAGGTCCCTAAGTGACAAAAACCATTTGTTAGTCACCTTCTAGTTCCAGCACAGCCCAGCTTAAACATGGACCCAGCCGTAAGTGTCGCTTTTGTAGTTGCGGAAAGGCTCGCCCAGAAGGACCTTGGCCACAAACATGTGCCATTTGGTTGATGCAACCTTGCTTGCAAAATGTTTCGCAGCGCATAATGTTAAGTCAACCTTCAAAGATCAACGCCAATGGTGCATCGACTGAGGAGTTCACAAGAGCGATGATATTCGAAAGCCCTGCGGCTTGGAATTGTTGTTGTTGAGTTGATCAGCTATCCCGTCAAACACTACTGGAACAGGCAGGGTTTCTGTCCAATATTCAGACCAGCTCTGGCCGTGGAAGTGCACGTTTTCAATACAATTATATATTCGAGAAATAAATCACCTCAGCACTTGCAAGTGTACAGTACTGCCAAAGGCCTCAGCCAAGAGTTGGCTTACAGACCAACAAAAACAATCTATGCAGATGCTTTGGGGGCCTCCCAAAAAAAACGCGGCAGCTTGATGCTTTGCAAGCGAACCTTGAAAGTTTTTGCCGCCAGTTTCGGGCCATGAGAAAAAAGGAAGACGAAGCAGAATCATCTCAGCCCAAGCATCCAAAAAGAGCCACGGCAAACAAAAGGAGACACAGGGATACAAACCAGAATCATCACACCCCATAACTCAAGAAGAGTCATGGGAGGGGGGGAAGGAAAACCAAGTAGAATCATCTCGGCCCAGCGTCCAAAAGAGCCATGGGAGAGAAAAAAAATCATCTTGGCTCAGGATTGTTCCTATGCAAGAATTGAGTACCTCTCACAGCAAAGCTGTTTGGGGAAGTATCTATGGAGACTCTTGTAGACCCCCTTTTGGAGTGTTTCTGTTGATTCTCTTGAATGCCACCTCTTCCCAGTCCAAGATCTTTGGATAGTTGCGGTTACTTGCTGCCGCCTTTTTGTCCCAAACCAAGAAACATATGTGGCGAATGCCTTTACCTTTTTTGCTGTGTTTTCATGTGCTAAGCAATGTTTTTTATATAAATATTTGCCTGTCTGGAGGAGTCCAAGAACCTTGGCCTACGTTGCAGGACTTATTGTTACCTAGGATTCTTGCTTTAGTATTTCGACTCAACTCGCCTTCCCTTCTTAATCTAGGTTTTTCTCCTCGAGAATTATCTGGTTCCTCTTGTGGTTTCTCGTGGTGGCAGGCGAACCCTACAACGTGCACACTTTTTAGCTTCTACCTGCAAGGACTATCCAAGAATTACCCGCGGACGTGAATCAAAGCGGCACGAAGCCCGAACAACGATCGAATGGCAACATTCTTTCTTTCCTCTTTGCAATGATCTGACACCGAAGCACAACTTGGTTGGTCCAAGGATAAAGCACGAATGCTCGGAAGGCACGAAGGCAAGAAACTAAGGGCATGGCCAAACGAAAGCAAAGCTGGTTGCGGATTCAAGTACATCAAGGTGCTTAATTACGAAAGCGGTGGTGTCGTCAACGTAAAGGACAAATCGTTCCGTGTTTTCTTTGTGCTGGTCAGCGTGTTCTGAACCCAGCGCGCAGCGTTGAGGCCACCTACAAGTGAAGGCCGGGACGCAATGCCTGGCTTCACTGCAGAAAAACCTAATCTGCGTGCTGACAAAGCCTTGGTACAATATGCAAAAGGCATGGCAATGACCCCTTTGCGAACAAGCATGTTGAAACCCGTCCCAAGGTGGGAGAGACATGATACACAAGCGAATTGTTTTTTGAAGCGTACCTAGCAGCGAACCCACACTTCTTAGTCCCAGGAATGAGTGTTGGGGCTAGTGTACGTGCGTGCGCAATGAAGTCGATATACAATCCACACCAAGGGATCGAAAAACAACACGAAAATAACAAAGTGGGGTGGTGACTGAGCACCCAAGCGATACAAGAAGGAGAGTAGTAACTTTCAAAAGGTTTCAGTAGCAACAGACCAAGAAAATCAGGGATTCACCATCCTTGAGGGAGGGGAGAGGCCCAGAACAAGGAGGAAAAGGGGGAAAACATCACAAAAACAGCAGAGATGTGTAGGAGGAGAGGAGAAGGGAAAAGGTTAGGAGAAACCGGAGAGCGCGGGCAGGGACAAATAAAGGCGAGGTAAGAGAGGAAACTCCTGAGGGACGGTCCCCTCACAGAACAGGCTTAGGAGGCGGCCAACAAACACCACAGGGGCCGGAAACACAGGCGCGCAGTGGAGAACCGAACCACTCCTTGACAGCGGGTCAAGGGCGAAAGTCGCGAGCCGAACCATGGCCCTTAGGACTCCGCAGACCCGGACCTTCACCAGAAGACTTGGCCGTAGGGTCGGGAAGCTCAAGATCGGCCAAGACTGACCGTTGGCAGCCACAGTACTGTAATCGGGCTGGTCTGAACCCAAGATCATGGTCTTTCCCCAAAAATGGGCGCAAGGCAGAGGATTGCATGGTTTGTTTCCATACTTGGGCAAATTGGCAAGGGTGTCGGCAGGTTCGGGCTTGCACGCGAGCGATGTATCTAGCAACAAACTGTCCCACCTGCTCTCTGCCGGACGTTCAGGTAGACGCTCCTCTTTGGGTGTCGAATTACGGATCCAAGTAGTCCACATGGCCCTTTGACGAACAGGACAACGGACCGGCGAGAAGCATCGGATGCCTGGCGGCGGGTGACCTGAAGAACGCCGTCCGGCCGCCTCAGCCAACTTCTAGGCTTTGTCAGCCTGTCCAACTCAGAGGCCTGGCCTTAGCATTCTTTGTTTTCGGATCGGAAGCGGAGCCAAACATAGACAGCGCGATGCAGCAAGGACAAACACGCGGTGCAAAACAACTACGGGGCATACATGGGCATGCACATGGTGTTTGAGCCGATGGAGCGAAACAACATGTATTTGGTGAAATACGGATGCGCATAACGGACACCGAATTGGGAAGGAGAGATCTGCAACGGGGCGCTCATGATTCACGCGCATACGAACACTGTCGTTGCTGTTCACAAATTAAACTGACGCGTGGCTGCTCCTGTTGTCAATGGCCCCAGACACAATGCCAGAAATCTATATACAGTATTTCAAAATGGTTTGCCACCCAACAATCTTGAAATATAGTTGCTCCTGTATTGATGTAGTTGCCGCTACCCTTCCTTGACGAGTACGTTTCACTATCAATTTCGCTCTATTTTGGTTTGCATTGCGTTCTCGGTCGAGGTGGAACATGAGTATAAGAAAAACAAACGGTTAACCAACAATAATTGCTCTGGATAAGGTGGGACGCATGTTTGTACAATAAGGATCTACTCAAAAATGACAATTCCACGAAAAAGAATAACAGTGTATGATACAGACAGGAGGGTTTCGGATAAGGCAGAATGCAGTTTCTGTAAGACTGGACTGGACTTGCCGTATCTAGATATCTTAAGGCACATTTATGTAGGACTTCACACATGTCAGGTGACGTCAAAAATGCAAGAACAGTGCACTTCCACAGCCTCCAGGAAACAATTGCAATTATTTGACCTGTCTGTCTCTCAATTAACTAAGTCT